TTGATATAATATCCTAAAAAATATGCTTTTTCTCTAGAAATTTTACATTGTCAATTCTCATAATATAACAAACTTTATACTTGTAAAAAAATTTTTTTTTTCCCTAAATGTGGCCCTAATACTCTATTGTAGAATCCAGCCTCCTGGTATTGGATCAGTCAGGTCTGTCCTGCAGATCAGTGCAGTCTGTCTCTATGGTGGTGTCCAGGGGAAGCTCTGTTAGAAGGAGTAATATGTGATATAAAAGTCTTGCTGGTGGTTTATGAAACATGAGGAAAATAAATCTACTGACAACAAGTTTTTCACACTCAGTGTAAAAGCAGCAGTCGTGTCCACACATGAAGACTGAAATAGTTTTCTCTCAGTTGTGATCTGGTTCATCTAAAGCATAAAGAAATCCCCTCTTAATGAGCTGTCAGTGAAGTGATGGGGACAGAATCCACAGGCCTTGTTCTTTGCAAACATTATCTGAAGTCTGTTACGAGGCTGCAGTAGTGTGAGATGGACACATTAAGAGGATATGTGTGCAGTTAGTGGATCTTCTTTGTGTTTCCCTGTCGAGCTGCAGAGGAAGGAAAGGACAGAGACTAACACATGGATTTTTCAACTAAAAAGGATGTAACTCAGTTTTCTATACAAAGAAATAAAATAGAGAACAGAAAAAAATAACTTCATCTTTGCACAAAAAAAGGACAAGGAATTCTATGTTCTATCACTTCCACTGGGCATTTGTTCTGAAGAGATATGTTAAAGCTCCATATTTTCCTCTTTTGTTTTACATATGTGGTTTAAGAACCAAAAATCATCTCAGTGTAGTTTTACATCTCCTCTCTCAGGCTTCTCTCTGGAGCTCTAGTAAACAAACAGGTCGGTGAGCCAATCAGAAAGAGAGGAGGCTCTGAGTCTCTCTTCTGATATAGCAGATTTCAGGAAAACACTCAGAGAAACCAAATCCTGCAAGGTTGGATGGTGGGTCCAGGTGGGCGGGGTGTGGGCTGTGCCTGAGACGTCGGTGACTGCTTTGTTGTACATCACAAAGTTTCAGAAGTCCTGACGGCTGGTTTTAAGTTCTCAGTTTCTGAATACAGGCTGTGTGCATTTCTCTGTGGACTGAGCGCTTTGATACTTTCACAGTATTAATACAGAACCTAGACCTACTAACCCTAACCCTTTTATAGTCAATCAATCATCACTTCATCCTCCAGTTAATATCTTGTTTATCTGTTAATTGTTAGGTCTTTATAAAAGTTGTCCATGACAGTGGACAGACAATGTCCAAGGTGCTGTCTTCAGATGTATTTCTTGCCTGAATAAGATATTCAGTATGTTAGTGTAGAAAATAACCAGCCAACAGCTTAAACTGATGCTGTGACAGCAAGTCAATTGTGGCATAAAAAATAACTTTTATGATTGATTGATTGATTATCATAATGTTTTGTAGATTAGTAAGCATTTTAGCTTTCCTAATTGACCTCATCAGTGTCTCTGTCTGCTGTTACCTTCCCAGGCGACAGTAGTCAGTTCAGTTATCTGCTCTTGTCAAGTTTATTCTCAGGACAAACACGTCAGGGCTCAAACATCCGCTGCAGTGATGACACACACTCTGTACTGCTTCAGATAAAACAGTTGCTGAAGCTGTGTGTGTGTGTGTGTGTTGTGTGTTTGTCTGAAATCTACATGTTTGAATTTCTAAACTAAATTAGCTGTAAAAAAAAAAAAGCCTAATGCTGAGGTGACAACAAGTCAGAAGCTTGTTATTGTTGTTAGTAATACCAGTCCATACAACACATTAAATGGTTACCGTATTAACATGTCCACAGGTAGAAAGACTCTGTGTATGACTTGATTTAAAGACAGAAGTGCTAGTGAACAGTATTACCACAGCTTTCACTTTTTTTTGATGTGCAGAGCGGCCATTTGGATTGTTAGGTCGTGTTTGGTGAAGCTCTTCAAAATCTGACTTTAGATTTCCAACTGGACACTGGGAGTTTCCCCACTTCCCAGTTTCAATGAAACCTGGTACCTGTGACAAACCTAATACACTTTTAGAAAACACACCACACACACACACACACAAGCGATTTTTCCATCTTTGGTTTTATTGAGCTCCATTGGCATGAAGTGTGTGTGCATGTGTGTGTGTGTGTTGTGTTGTGTGTTAGAGAAAGAGATGGATGGTGTTATTGAGCAGCTCTTGTTCTGTATGTCCCTCTGGGATCCACTAGCTCTGTCTGATCGTCCACCATGACACACTATCTCTCCCTCTGACTGACAGCCTCTCTTTATCTCTTCTCTTCTCCTCCTCCTCCTCCCTCTCTCTGTTTCTCTAACATGCTGTTTTTTGAAAGTAAGAAATTAGACATTTCTCTGCCTCTGATGTGTCCGAGCAGAATAAATATTCTCTAAGCTGATTAGAATGTAGATACAGACTGATATCATGTCATGAAGTGTTAAATGAAAACCTGCATGAACCATCTGCTGCTCAAGCTGGAATCAACCAAACCATGACTGTTTATTTTAGTAAACATGGTGACAAAGGCAAGTATGATGCTCTCCATACAGTTTGTTTATTATTGTAAACCCTGACAGCCATGGTCCGGTTGGACCTGCCGCTGTAGGGGCACTTTTTTCAGGAGACACTGGTATGCGGTCGTATCAGAGGGTTGATGGTTGTTCAGGTTGGAGGACTGGGTGTCATTTCACCATGTTGGTGCAGTGCATGAAACAGTGTTGTAAAGGTGAACAGTTTTTTGTGGGAGTATATAGTCATATGTTTTGGAGTTTATTTCAAACTGCTTAAAACAATCTAAAAGCTTGTTGTCTTCACCATCCTCTGAGCCCACACCCGCTGCCCTGTGTTCCCTGTGTTAACTGGTACACAGCACCAGTGAGTGGTGGGTTGGTGGTTTCTTCATGTTTGGAAAGTTACAGTGGTGCTGTCGGAGGTGTAATCGAGTGGAAATAAGCTGAAGAGATGTAATAGCCCAGTGTCGACCTTTGAACCTGAGCGGGTGGTACACAGTGTTCACATGGTTGATGTTTCACCTACAGACTATAAAAAGTCCACTGCACATAATCTGTACAGATTGCAGGTGATCCACACAGCAATAGGCTGGATGTCATTATGGAAACTTGTCGGCAGAGTACTATATTTGAGGTGTCACATGTGATTACTTAACTGGATTAGAAATAGAAATAGAAAATTGGAGAGTGCGTACCATTAACGCTTACTCCTTACCACAGCGGCCATGGGTTTGAATCCAACCTGTGGCCCTTTGGCTGCATTGTCATTCTCTCTCTCCCCAACTTTTCCTGTCTCTCTTTCATTGTATCTAGAATAAAGGCATAAAAAGCCCAAAAAAATAGCTAAACAAAAAAAAAAAAACACATCTCACATCTTATCTCTGTCACACGGCGTTGATTTTTTACATGTGCAGATAATGCAGTGAGTTGATAAAGATGGAGTGATGGACAGAGGTAAAAGGGAGGTAAAGAGAGGTGAAGGTCATTATCATCCATCCATCTCATCTCCCATAACCACCTATTAATCTCACCTCAGCTGCAGATTTATTGACAGGCAAGAGACTCTGACACATACAGACATGCTGGGGAGGGAGGCCAGGGAGGGAGAGGGTGGGGGTGGGGAGTATAGTTTTCCTCACTGTTCTCTGGAAACAGTTGAGAAACTTCCCTTCCTCAATGAACGCAACATTTACATCAGTTTACAGAAGTTTTTTTCTCCTCTCAGATCAGATGTGGACACAGCTGCATTAAATGAGTCAGAGCACAGATCCTCCTGGTCAAATGTGACTCCAATACAAGAGAATGTTGTTCAGTCAGATCTTACCTGAGTTAAAGTACTGGAGTACTTGACTTAAAAAAATAATTGCAGTATTTGTTGTTTGTTGTTGTGTAATTTTTCCACAGTGCTATACAGAACCTCATGACTCTGAAACACTGCACCTGACTTACGTGTAGAACCTCCATACCATAAAGCTTGTAGAATATGATACAAAGGATATAGAAATGGCCATAAAAACAACCGAAATCAACAAAAGAAGCCATTGTCATTTTCATATTTCTTTTTTAGTCAGTGATGAAGTCTGGTCGTGGTAAACACAGCAAACATTCAAACTAAATGAATTTTCTTTAAAGCTTCAAACACAGAGCTCAGACCTCAGATGGTGAAAGAATCTTCAGCCTCATCTTATTCTAACGTCGCCATCATTAGGACCCTGACAGGTTCAAACATGACTGACAGTGGGAGGAGTTGTGATTCTCTATGATCAACACAGCCTATGGTCTATCACATTTTTCAAAATAAAGAAAATCCACTCACTGACTAAAAGCTGCTTCAAAGTAAGAGTCCTTCATAGAAATGTAGTGGCGTCAAAGTACAATATTTGTCTTTTTAAGTGTAGAGGAGTAAAAGTCAGAAGTTTATAAAAATATAATACTCAAAGTACAGATACTGAAGAATATACTCACTACTGAATGTAATCTACTCAATATGTAATCTAGTCTTGGCAGCAATGTGTTAATTAAGTTTAAAATTAAAAATTAGGGTTTCATTTACTTTTGTTGTTCCACAGTTGTTGTATGAAGTGTGTCATATTCATAGGATGACAGAAAGATGTTTTTTGTATAAACTTCTCTCTGCTGGTGTTTGGTGCATCATCTACTTGAAGTACAGTAGAAATAGAAGAGTGCATAAGTAGATGACGTACAGTATATGATATATGATATAAATATGTTCACAGAGTTACTCAAATGCGAAAGATACCTGTGCTTCTGCTCCTATTTATTTATTTTTTTCTCTCAGTGTTTTAAAGTAGAGCCTGACTGATTTATCATGAATGTTGCATCAACAGCTAAATTGTTGAAATAAAACAATGGGATTAAGAGTGTACATTAAAGGTCTCTCTATCCGTCTGCAGGGCGGTCTTCATCTCCACCCTCCTCTTACTCTTCGTCGTGGCAGTCGGGATTATACCAACTCTCAGCCAGTCCAGTTACCAGACAGGTAAGAAACAGCTGTGCAAGCAGAGGACACAAATCAATGACAGCCCTGGGACTGTGGGAATTCTACCGGAAAAAAACACAGTTTATACTTTTCATCAGCTCCTGTATCAGGCGCACACTCATACACAACACTGTGAAAATGAAATGACTAGAAAACATTAGAAAACCAGCACAGATCCATCCAAGTGAGGGTTGTTTTTATAGGTAAAGGGAATTAAAAATGATAAATATGATGCAATTGCTCTGTTTTCATACAGTCCACAGTGTTAAAGCCTCTCAGGTCCTTTTTTTCCCTCAGAGTTTTTTTTGTTCATGTTCGTGCAACCAACTCTGCAAAACTGGGGTTAATTAAAGGCAAAGCTCCTGCCCCAAGGGACAGTGAATGGATGGTTCCAGAGAGAGGAGGGTCATTTGTAAGACTGTCTGAGTGTGGAGGTGAGGAGGGGGGGGGGTTTAGAGGTGAGGGGGGGGTGGACAGTGGGAGGTCGGCATGGAGGAGGATGGATGGATGAGAAGCGAGGGAATGAGCGGATGCTGCAGGGGTGAGATGGATAGAGCTGATGGGATGAGGGTGAATGAAATGAGATGAAATTTAAATGAATCCTTGGGGAAACTGGTCGTTTCATCAACAAACTGCAGCACTACATACTGTACATATAAATACATGTAATGCCCCATCACTTCTCAGCTGTTTGACCATCAATAAGTGATAAAAACACACCCAAGATTAATATAAAACGTAATCCTCCTTAGAAAAAAACATAATAGATAGATAAACCATAAAAAGATGCAGCTGCTAGTGGATAATGTAACCACTTAAAATTATATATAAATTGTAAATGTCACTCTTGGATTTTGTTCTTCTGATAAGATTCTGATAAGTAAGATTTTTGAAGTCTGGTCCAGGAGGACCACTGGCACCATGTGACCATCTGTTTCCTGCCATTTACAGTCCAATGAACTGCCCCCTCTTTCCTTTTAGTCAAGGTTTGTGTATATTGAGGTATGACTTAGACTGGCCAGGACCCTGTCTCAACATCCAGCCTACCACAGCTTTACGAAGCAGCAGAAGAGGAACTTGACAGGGCACTGAGTTCAGTAGGATCAGGAAACAATGACTGACGACAAACAAAACCATATGTCCGTCATATTCGTTTCAACGAATACTACAAAGACGGTGGGGAAGATGAAGATTTTTACTCTTGTGGTTCTGGATAAACGCATTGAGAAATGTCATAGGACCAAATGATTTATTTCACTCCTTGCTTTCATATTGAACATCACAAAAAGGGTCCACCTTCCTTTTCCTTGCATCATATGGCAAACCCAATAATGCCCATTACTCATAACCAGTATGTTACACAATTATTAGGATAATGTTTTCATTATTGTAATGACCTCTTGTTTCCAGTAAAAATCATTCATCATATACAAAGTGTATTCTGCAATACAAAACTGTCTCACCCACCTCAGTGTTTAATATATTCTTCTGTAACTGTAGAGAATTATAAAACATTTTCCCATCTGGCACAAGACACAATATTTTCACTTACACTCTGTTTTTACTGTCTGCATTTAATATCCAACACACTCCTGTTGTCTTTATATGCAGCAGAGCAGAACGAAGCTAAAACCTGCAAGATAATAAAAGACCTATAGCAGCATGTTGCAGATGGATGGATAATGTGTGTGTGTTGGGAGGTACAGGGGTGGTAGTGGTGGATGGAGGGATGAGGCAGGAGATATTACTGTAGATGTATGGATGGATAGTGAGGGAGGAGGAGAAGGAGGTGGATGGATGTTGGAGAGGGTTTTAATAGAAAGACTAATACTCTGGCCGGGGAAACCTGACAGGTCAATTACTAAACACACACACACACACACACACGCACACACACACACAGTCGATCTCTGTACAGGTGTAGAGAGTCTCCATTAATCCAGTGTTCAGTGTTCAGGATCCTGAGAACCAGCGGTACTGAAATGGTTCTACACTTCAGTTTCTCAAACTGAGGCTCTGGACTCAGAACAGGCCACTGATCCTCAGTTCAGTTCACTTTTTGCTGCTGCTACAAGGAACTAATGAATTTCAACTTCCTTTTTAAAAGTGCATGTTCTCCTGCTTGTCTATTTAGAGACATCTGTGGAAATACATTTGACTCCTTTTTTTGTTTTTATGACTTTTCAACAGTTTTTACTTGGAGTTGTCTTCATAGTTAGTATTTTCATTATGGATTCATTTCCCAATTATGTCATCAATCATTTAGTCCATAAAATGTTGATATTAATAAAAATTTACATCACAATTTTCAAAGTGGTGTCTTCATATTTCATGTTTTGTCAAACCAGTAATCCAAAATCGAAGCATATTTCATCAAATAACAAATACAGTTGTATGCAAGAGTTGCAAAAGCTGTGACACAGTAATGTGCCCAACTTTTGTACATACCACAATTACTGTTTTAATTACTGTACTATTTTTAAGTTCATGAAATAAAAAGAAATAGTCAATTAAAAAAAGCCATTGAAATCATTTTCACTGTCTGTTTCAGTGGGTGTTATATTTACCTCTTTTCACTGAAATTAAATGACAAATGTTTTCAAAATTTTGATTGAAAACAACAGAAATAATTAATTGATTTTGAAAATAGTTGAAAATGAATTTGCCCTCAATTAACTGAAGGATTATTTAACTAACAGTTATTACACTACAGGCAGTGTAAACCTGCGAACCTTATAAAAAACAACATGAAGCCATAGAACTGTTAATTTAGAACTAGTATTCTATTAGTGTTTTCCTTTGGGAGTCTTGTAATCCTTTAATGAATTCCAGGAGTTGATGTCATACATAGCAGTCCATACAGGGTTCTGTAGGTGCTTGAAGTGGTGCCAGTGTTCCAAGTTCTTGAGGAGGTTCTAAAAGGTACCTTTTGGCTTCAAGGATCTTTGTGGAGTGGTTGAATGGGTTTTAGTGATCCCAGAGTTCACACCCCTGAGGAGATTCCAGAGGATCTTCATGAGGAAACTTATTAAACAGGGTCAGTAGCTCTTGAGGTTGTTCTTGCAGTTCTTCAGGTAGTTTCAATGGTCTTGTATGTGTTTTAAGTTGTTTTGTGGGGGTTCTAAAGGACTTTTGTGTTTCAGGGGTTCAAGTAATCTCTTAAATTCTTGGTATTCAATTCAATTCAATTCTATTATATAAAATTATTATAGAGAGAAACCCATCAGTTCCCACAAAGAACAGCACTTGGTGACGGGGAGGAAAAGATCTAAAGTGCCTTATAGTCCCTGAAGTTCTTTGTATCTAGTTTCTTTAAGAGATTTGGTGTTTGGATCTGGTGGTCCTTAAAGAAGGTTGAAGACTTGTCAAAGGGCTCTTGAGGTGGCCCTCGCTTGAAGTAATATAAATGATCGTTAAGGTTCTGTCATCTCGTCTTTTGAGGTTTTTAAAGGCACTTATTGGTTTTAGGGGTGCTAGGGTAGGGGGCAATCACTATCGGACACTTATACTATATCATCAGTCTGATGAGATTATGATTTGTGGTCTAATTTAGGTGTTAGAGTCTATAGTATTGAAACGTTGGAGGAGGCCTGTCTGTGAAGAACTCATTAGTCATCACTATTATTATCGCGTACTGAACAGTCATCCTCTTTATCCTACATTTAATTAACTCATCCATTATAAATGAGGACCTAAAGACCCGGAAGAGCATGTCTGTGATTTGATTGATTGATTGATTGAGTGATGACTGAAGACTTGAGTCAGTGTGGAAATCATTAGTCAATTAAATCAATTGGCAGGAAATTACTAGCTAAGCTAATTTTGATGATTAATTGATTACAATGTGAGGACTAGTTTCTCTTTTTAATATGGTTGTTCCTGAAACCTTCCCTCTGGACAATTATTGTGAAGTGTAGAATGGCCATAAATACTAGTATTAGTAGTACTAATATTAGTAGCATTAGTAGTCATTACAGACAGGAATCTGGAATCAAACCAGGGACATTGTGGGTAAATCATATCACTGCTATGCAGATGATTCTCAGTTGTACCTCAAAAAGTTGCAAAATTGTCTATTTTACAAATTGTTAAATGCAGTTAAATTTGAATGACTGATCATTTTCTACAGCTCAGCCCGGGTGGCTTTGTCTCCAGTGTGAAGGAAAGCCTTTGTTCCCTCTTATCATCTGTAAAATCCATACTGACAAATCCTGGTCTTCCTATGCACTTGGCACTGACTTTATTATTTAAATAACTCCCTCTTCACCTGTGTTAGAGACTCTTCACTGGGTTATTTACAGGCCTCCAAAATGCTGCTAGAAATCTTTGGACCATATCTTCAAAGTCTCATAAGTCAGGCTTTTTTATATGTCAGGCTATGTTTGCTCTGTGAAAGTAGGAGTTAGAGGCAGTTTCAAGATACTTTTAAGTTAGGGTAAGAGAATGGTGTTAACTGTCGTGGGCTCAGTAGATTTATGACGACAGCCTGATACCCACTGCAGGGCCTAGTGACAGGTCAAAACACCATGTAAACAGGAATGCTTGGCTTCCAGAGAAATCTTTGGCACAATTCACTGACTCCCTGTGAAATCTAGTAGGTCTCTGAGGTCTGATCAGGGTTTTTTGGTGGTTTCTTGCTCCACACATCTGACAGACATAAGGAGACTGAGAATTAAATGCCTCCATTTGGACATCAGATCTGCAACAATTAGAGAAGGGCCCACTTGTTTATTTAACGTTGTCCTCGTTTAGATTTATTTAATTAATTAATTTAGTTAATTAATTACTGTCATATTCTGTCTGTATTTTATGTTTTGCTGTTTGTCTTTGTGTTTTATTGTGAAGCAGCATCTGTCATCTGGTCCTGAACAGTTATAGACAGATGTTACTTTCACTGCATTTTAAAAACAGTTTAAAATCAGAGATCCAAAGTTAATCTGTTCAGATTAACGCAGCAAACATCATCATGAGAAATGATAAATCAGATATTTGTTTATGTTTCAGAGATTTCCCATCCTGACAAAAATACATCACTGAGTGCTGGACTATTTTCAGCAGGAGGGTCAGAGGGTAAGAAATCTGTCTTCTGTCCAAAAATATCAGCAGTCTGCTTACATCTGTCTCACTCTGCACGTCTGTTTTGTTGTTTCCTGTCAGATGTCTCTCATTTTGCCCAGCAGTGTATTCTACATTTAACAAATAAAAGCAGTAGAAACAGTTTAACCTGTGATAAAGCTCGTCCTCTCTGACGGACATTGTTTTTGGGTAGCAGCTCAGATGAGTTTCAGTGTTGTAATGGAGCAGCTTCCTTCTCTGCTTTAATCCTTTAATGAGTTGGAAGTGTAACAGCATCGTTCGTTTAACAAGGCCAGTTAACAACAACACCCATTAAGCTCTTTTTGATCCTCACATAAAAACTCAAAATCAGAGCCAGACCACCAGCCTGGACCCAGAGAGAGGGACAGAGAGAGGTCCCTCTGCTCCTCCTTCAGCTCTGTCAGTGAAAAATTATGAAATTATTAAAGGGACATTCAGCCACAATTCACTAGTGAAAAACAACATTTTTGACCATGGAAATGGTCTATAGACTGCACTATTGTAAGACTATTGTACCTCACAGTGGAACAAAGTAGTTTATATTGTACAATCACACTTACACTAATGTGGACAGAGCAGCCATGGGAGACTCTTAATGGATGACCTTTTCCTGCCACCTGGTTTATATTTGTTTAAAATTTCTGCATTTATCAGAAGCCATAATTTTCACACTTTTAATGAACCTTGCTTTTGTCATGTGAAGATATATGCTTTGATCCCTTTCCTTTAGTTGTATACATTGTTAGTGTTGTCAAAAACTACATTTATACACTTTATGCATATATTTATGCACTTGATTTCTTTTAGCTGATACTGGTCCAGTGAAATTCACCCGGTCAGGCCCTGATCCTTAAACTGCCAGTTTAGATGGTACCCCCTCCCCCTCCCCCCTTTGTGGTTAGAGGTTAGGTTGTGAACAACTGGGAGCAGCACTTTCACCCAGGTATTAGCTCAGGACGTCTCTAATCAGAACCACATGGACACATTGGGTTTCCATAACATTTACTGTGCACATTCACAGAGGATGAAGCTTTTTGTTTTTGAAGCTGAAAGCACTTTGTGAACACAGCATACTGACTGTCTGCAGGAAACAGGAAGTCTGGTTTAAATCTACTAACACTTCCTCTGGTTTGTTTAAGTCATATTTCTCGACAAACAGCCCTAGGTGGATTTTTAATTAAAAATTTCTCTCTCTCTCTCTCTCTCTCTCAGAGCCCATGTGTTATGACTGGGGGGAATCCAATGAGGAGGCGGTCTCAGTCCTGGAGGGCCAGGCTGGTTGGCTCTCCTGTCCTCTTTTCTCTCATCCCTCTGTCTACAACTACACATCCACCCAGAGTGCCGGACACAACCTCTTCTGGTACCGCCTCCCTGAGGGTCATGACCTGGAGCAGCCAATCACATACAGGTAAAACTGCATGAAGTTCTACCTGCTGCTTTGAGACATCGTCTTATTTTTCTTTCTACCAGTGTAAAGTGTACTATTCCTCAGCTGCTGGACCACACCCCATGAGGGTAGTGATGGGGGGAGATGGAGCTGTCAATCAAACTTTATTTGTTAATACAGTTTAAAGTGCTTTACATATCACTGACAAGCTGATAATAAGTGTAAATGTAAACAGTAATAATTAATAATTTAATAATAATAATAAGTGTAATAATAATGCGCAACACAAGAAATAAAATGAATGAAAAAGATTTAAAAAACATAAAATAGATAAAAGACAACACATAGATGGAGGAGTAAAACATTTTAAAATATGATTAAAATAGCTAGAATTGTTGTAATTTGCTCCACAGCAATGCTGACAGTTAGCCAGCTAGTGTTAGCAACAGTTGCTGAACACATTCATAATAAGGATAATAATAATGTAATAACAGGAAGTTAGCTAATGTTATCATGTCTACTGTAGCCATCACTAATAAAAACAGACATGTAACATTATGAACCATCAGGTTTCTGACACATGGGGGAGAAGAAAAAACAGTTCTGAGTCCAGCTGGACCCTTTGGCTGCTCATAGGGTTCTCCTCTCAATAAAACAACCAGTACTGGCCCCACAGTCAAACTGGGAGAGAAACTGAGACCGCGGTCACACCAAAGACACTGACTGAGCTGGCAACTACTTAAAAAATTTTGTGGATGTTTTTTGTCATTCTGCTGGCTGACCAGGATTTGAGCCAATAGTTCTTGGTCCATTCCACCTGTGCTCAGGTCTTATCTCTTTCCTTGTCTGAGGTCTGTTTAGATGAAAACGTGGTTTCTTCTTCAGTGGAGGAAATTCTGGAAGATCACTCTCACCTGAACTCTGCATTGTGTCACCTAACCTGTGAGAGCAGCCTGTGTCTTTATAAACGTGGGGAGGACCAACGGTTTAACAGGGGGACTTACATGCACTAACATTCACATGCTACTGGACCGTCTACCAAAACACAGAACAGAGAAACGGATTACAGTACACACAGAGGGGTGTGATTTAAGTCTCTGCTCAGGACGCCACTATATCTTTACATAGAAAATAGTTGTTTGCTGCTGTAGTATTGTTTAAAATCTCATTTACAGAACCTTTAAACAAGATTAATTATGGCCGGGAAATAAAAGTCAGACTAAAGAAGAAAGATCTCTCAATCACTTTACAACAGCTTCACATCTATTGTCTCATATCTTTTCTTCTCATCAATTACAAGAACAGTGTTTTGTCTGGTGTCCCGGGGTGTGGTTGTAGTTCTCTTGTCTGTAGTGATATACCTGTAAGTATGAACTACAGCACAGGTGCATTGTTGGACTGAATGTTTCACTGTATATTTCCTGATTCAGAATCAGCTGCAGATAAGAAGAAGTTCAACCTGAGGAGAGTTTAATGATTGACAGCTGTGTGTGTGTGTGTGTGTGTGTGTGTGTGTGTGTGTGTGTGTGTGTGTGTGTGTGTGTGTGTGTGTGTGTGTGTGACTAAATTAGACACTTTGAAAGTAACTGAAGGATGAAGTGCTCTCTAACGATTTCCCTTCCAGGGAGGATGTATGGTGTTTTGGAGGCAAGCAGCTCGATTAGCGTCACTGAGGACATTAGATTTTGTTCTAATGTCGTTGTAATTGAATCGTATCTGATTTACATTCGTTCAGGCTCTAATGAATTATGATGACTCTCCTCTGCAGCTTGCGGCTCAGTAAGGACAGAGAGAGGCTGTGGCTGCAGCCGGCCATGGCCGAGGACACCGGACTGTACATCTGTATGCTACGGTGAGAGACTGCAGTTCCTCAAATCACCACATTCTGTATTTTTGTATGTCCTCTGAATTACTGAATTATTAGTTTTATTAGCAAATAGTTATGGATTACATGTTTTCTTCAGTGTATGAACTCCAAAGAGTCCCCTTCAGAGGAGACCAGGATCAGAACTGTAGTCAGAAACTCAAAATTAAATTCAAAGCTCTGATAAAATGAATCATCCTTAGAAATCCGATGAAATGAGTCTTCAGAAAGAAAATTCTGATGTTGAAGGTCGTCAGGTGAATCTAACATCAGCAGCTCAGAGGTCCGACCTTCAGATCCTCCAGATAAAACCTGCTGCTCTCTCAGTTTCGATCCTCCGACTCTTAATCAGCTAAAGTGGCTCTGAGAGCGTCTTAAAGATCTGCCACTGCTCAGCTCAGAATTACAGAAATGGAGCTTTAGGGCTCAGATGTGACCCGCCAGCTGGACAGGGTCCAGACCTGCATGTGACACTCAACAGGATCAGTTCATTTCCTAAGAGGGGGTCTGCAGTTCACTCAGCTGAGAGGATGAGGCAGGGTGAGGAGGGTGGGGGCTGACTTCAGGTCCAGTCAAAACTTAATCACTCCAAAGTTCTGGTCTGTGCAGGATTCTGATTGGACCTGATTCAACATAAACAACACATGCTGCCTCTTTACTCATCAAATCAGAATGAGAATTATTGACCTGTGTTTACAGAGAGTGTGTGTGTGTCAGTCAAACTGCAGAGACAAAGGTGTGTGGTGAGCATCATGTGACCAGTGTAGGATCTTTAGCATCAGCTACGCAGTCTGTTATATAGTAGGGCTGCAACCAAGGATCATTTTTATTAACAATCTGCCAATTATTTAATTAATGAATTGATTAGTCTATAAAATCTTAAAAAATCTACTATCTACTAGTATCAGCTGATTTCAGCTCTTTATCTGTTCTCTTCCCTCCTCCTCTCTCACAGTACAGTATTTTAATACAGCAGAATATATACAGTGTGTTAGTAGCAGTAGTAGACAGTTGCTGTTTGATGTGTTCGGTCTATCTCTGGAGAAGCTCAGTAGTTATTTCCTCGTTCACCAGTCTTGCTCATGTTACCAGTGGTCATGGTTCAGTCTAAAGGTTTTTGGGGGTGTCCCAGTGCAATAGCATGTGATCTGTCTATGGCATGACTGAAATACAACTGCAAAAGGCAAAGTGAACCTGGAGTGCTTTGTGCTCACAATGTACAGGTGAAGCAAACCCGCAACATGGACTTGAGACCACCTCTCTCAACAGTGGAATTATGATCACTCAATCACTCGGTCAGCGACATTTGTGATTATAGGGCTGGCCCCACTGTTGCGGTCCAGCCAAAAATTATTTAGTGAAAACAAGCAGTGCTGCCGTCTGACTACAAGAGAAGGTCGGTGATAACAGGGGTACAAAACTAGACCAAATTTAACTGTCCCCAGAAGGAGGAGTATACACTTGAAAAGAATACGTCTGGATGTCCCTGTTTTTGGTATAGAGCCAGAGTTTTTTCATCTGGACTCCAGAGAGCTGGAGAGTCCAACATACACTGGTACACAGACGCACACACACACAGTTTGTATAGACAAACCTGAGAGTGGTGTGATTGAAATTCTTGTGAGCTGAAGAATGACCAGAAGTTTAGATGTCTCAGACAAGTATTTGTTGATAGCTGACGCACCATGAAGAAAGTGATGAGCAGTACAATTACAGCAGGTCAACCACAGTAGTGCCACAGCAAGTTCTGAAGGTGTCTGGTCTGACAGTGGGTACATATTCCCAGGTCCGCACCTTGCTCCAAATAAGGTTCTTCCAAAACCTTGTGTGTAAAAGTGGTATTGGACACATGCTCTTTCCTACTTAATATCACATGTGTCTTGTCCTTTCCTCTACTTAGCTCATTCTCGGCGAGTAACTGTAATTGTAACTGTAACTGGATTTTAGCAATATTCTCTAAGTTTATGCTTTTCCTTGGTTACCCAGCAACGGAGGACAAAAGTGTGTCCAGATGTCCACTGTCATAAGGGTGTCTAAATGGTTATCCATTGTATAAGACAGTGAAAGTTAATGTTAACATGTTACCGCCAGCAGTGAGATACGTTTAACATCACTGGCCTCAGACTGGAAGCTTCTAATCGACTGAGAGGAGGAAGTCTCAAAGACATCGGTCACATACATACATAAACACACACATGGGCGCGTGTGCACACACACACACACACACACACACACACACACAGACACACACACACACACGTCAATCAGCATTTAGTGGTAGATGGAGATAAGTCTTTGCCAGGAAGTACATTACTGCTCCAGCTGAGAGTCACCACAGTGCATGCTCCTCTGATGTTCAGTGGTAGAAGATGTGGAACACAAAGTAATATTCTGACTTCACTTTACTGACATTAAACTATTACTGCTTCTGATAACAGTGCTACAGCATCACTGCACACAGAAGATCTGAGTGATCTGCCCACTTTGATCTAGTTTGATCTTCCTGTGTGGTCAGTTGTTACATCACGCTTCCTCTCTCTTTGAAGGAACACACTCACTCACCTACACAAAAAGACTGTTCTCAGAGTGGAGACAGACGTCTGTCCCCAAAAACAAGCCTTGCACTCACAGAAGGCGTGACCTGGTTTTGTGGTTTTTTGTTGTCCTAGATTTTTTCTTCAGTCTCATTTTGTATTTTCTCTGCACTGCTTTGTCAAAATAAAGTCAAAGGTCCAAGACGTTTTAAGTGAACTATGAGTCCCAGAGGGCATTGCTGTAAGAACCGTCCAATCAGAAGAAGACAGAGGGTCAGTTGTGTTTGGTCTGTTGACATCTCCTGTCTCTGTCTTGCAGTAACAAGTCGTCCTGCAGTAAGATCGCCATGCGTCTGAAGGTGCTGCGGCTTGACGAGGTGGTCCGTGAACCCGACTGCCAGCCTCCGGTTGTTGTGGCACCCACTCATTTGGTCATCCCGTTGCAGGAGGAGAAGACCCTGGAATGTCCCAACCTACAGGATGCAACCAAGATGGCCGACGGTCCTACAACTGTCACTTGGTACCACGTGAGAGTAGAGCACATGGTAATACATCCATCCATCTGTCTGTCTGTCTATGTTTCTGTCTCCCTGTCTGACCTGTCTTCCTCTATGACCTGTCTCTCTCTTTGTCTTAGAAGTGTTACCAATATCCGTTCTGGAACAGTGAACGGCAGCAGAAGGGAGCCAGTCTTCAGTTCTACGTCATGTATTTAGAATACCAGGGTTTATATGTGTGTACAGTCACCTACCTGAGGAGAGGCCGAGCACTCAACTTCACCAGGAGCATCAACGTCACTGCAGTCAGTAAGAGAGCCACACCACCACCCACAATACCACCTCCACCTCTACTACTACTGTACAGACAATAGAGATTATGACTGTGCTCTGCTTTACTCTTTCAGATCCGTCCAATCTACCCAAAGAACCCAGCATCCTCCACCCGACTAAAGACCAGGTCTTCACTGTCAAAAAGGGTAGGTCAGAACAACTGCACCAACTGTCAGACAATGAAACAGCTGGAATTGAGCCTTTTGAAATCCCAGTTAATTTCAGTACTAGACCAGAGACCAAGACACCACCCAGTAGTGATTTAGGAATACCCACCAAGACTGAAAACTAGTGTATGCACATCCCAACCTGATACACACCGCCAAAATAAAATACCTCTGTGTTTGCCTTCATTTCTCCAAAATGGAGCAACACTGTTCAAACTGTCTCAGAATACCATACCTTTAATTAACCAGGTACAAACGTTACTGGATGAACCTTATACAAGTTTTCTTTCAGATTGTTTAACATTTTGATTGGCTGCTCACTTGCGTCCCATTTGACTGTGTCATGCGTTATCGGGACCCTGTGCTGTATGTATATGAGGCTGCAGGCACATGGATCAGTGCAGATGACAGTCAGAGGTTGTTGTTGAAGGATGCGGTTGTCACGGTGATGGAGTGTTACAGCAGAACTGGTTACTGCGGTAATTTGCCATCGATCAGAAACGATCAGTGAAACAGGAAAGAAAAACTGTAACACAGCAAAGATGGCTGCCAGGGTAGAGTGTTGATACTGCAGAGATCATAAAATAACTAAATACATCCATGTTCTCACCTGATGCTGCAGAACACAACAGACTCAACTTGACCCCTCTCAACAGAGCAAAATAAAAGACATCATTCAGTCGTTAACTGAGTCCGTTAATCTTCAGGAAGTCACAGAATGATTTCATTTTTGATTTTTGAATCACATTTTGCTGGTAATTCTTTTGTAGTGTTACTTGTGTAAACATTAGAATACGGGACCTTAACCTGTGATGGAATATTTTTCACAGGGTGGTATTACTGCTGTTCATACCCAAAGGGTCTGACTACTTCCTCCACCACTGGCCCTCCTGGTCATTCTTTATATTCGGTTTTGAAAAGTTGATTCATCTGTTCAATCCTCGTTGGCTTGACCTCTGCGATACAGAGTCTTTGTCCTCAGACAGACCAGGTTCAGAACCATCACAAATTTACTGGATTAAAAACTGTATTCTAGGAGGCTCCATGTTTAGAGTGTGGTGAGCTGCAGCACTCTTCACTCCTGTGTGGTTTCCAGCACATGGAGATGTGAGTTCCTTTAGAAAGACCTGTGGAGGTTTACACAGAGTCTTTCAAACGGGAAAACATAAAGAAAATACAGCATCTCAATCTGAAGCTACAAACTTCAACTCACATGTCATAAAAACATGAAAAAATAAACATAAACCAACAATAAACATAACCCAAGAAGCAAACAGACTGTATACATACTACAGATGTTGTGGTAAACAGCTGGATCCGTCATTGCCCTCTGTTGGGCAGGTTTGTAACATAATTGGACTTAATTAGAACAAATGGAGCATGACTAAAGTTCTGTAACCTAACATATTCATATCTGTGGCCTCATAATACACGTTGGTAATATAAGAGCTGGAGAACTGAACTCTTAGAGCTTTATGAAGGTATATGAGGTCTCACTTCTCTCCTCTTCTTCAGCTCTAAATGACAAGAGGGGAGTTCCATCATATGATTCGTTAGTGTCACTTGAGTCATGGTGTGGATGAGTGTTTAATTGTTTGGGGAATGATCTCAAGACTGTGTTGTAAGCGTCTGACAGGTGCCTTTCAGATGAGAGGTGAAACGTCTTCAAGAACCTCCAGCAGGACCAGTGTCTTTGTAAAGTCTTAGAGAGATCGTGACCTGGAGACTCAGAATCTCCACAAACCTGTGAACTGAACACACACAGTACTTACTGTTTACCACAGAGAATCTCTACAGAAGCACAGAGAAGCTCAGTGTTGAGTTCACTATTCAACAGTGAGCAGTGTCGATTGCTCTAAGACTGCAAGGGAAGCTCAGCTTCCCCTAAAATGTCAACAAAATAAGTGGTCAAATATGTACTGTTGTGTGTACATTTCATTGACTAAATATGCGCTAGAACACGTTCATCTTTTGTTCAGAATCAGCTACTTATCACAGGTAACCGACACGACTTCCTTCTCATTCATCCCCGCAGCGCCACAGTGCTTTACACAGTGTAGACGCCGAGCGTCTACTGACTTCAATGGGGAAGCACAGAGTGGGTTGTTCCACTGCAGCGAAACTAGACGGTCATTGGATAAATGCTGGGCTTTGTCCCGCCCATCGGACACTCAGCATCTCTGGGGGTCTATGGGGCAGTGGGCTGGCCCGGACACTCGGCTTCTGCATGATGATTGGATGATCTGTCTGAGGCTGAGTCCCTTTTTGATTGACAGCGAAATGAGCGAATCAGCGATCTTGAAGTATAAGCATCCACCGGAGCATTTTTCAAGTTTTTCATTCTGTTGTTCGGAGTTGATCTGGAGACGTTACTGATCCTCAGCCACTTTGTCTTTGTTAAAAACGACTAGCGTTGTGTTTGGCGACTCTGTTCTGTCACTCTGCGAATTTACATATAAATAAACGGACACATTTTATGATGTAGGCCGAAAATGAGCTTCCCCTCCTTATAAGACCAGCAGCCGCCACTGACAGTGAGGCTTTAACAGAGAGGGTTGTCACTGTTCTGATCTACTCTGAGCAGATTTATAATCCTGAACCACACAGTGCAACTACAGCTCTGCTTCCACATGAAAGAATCACTGTGTAGAAAACTTCTCCTGTCTGATTTGCTCGTTAACTTCAAGTGACTTCACACCTGCCAGCCTGCAACTAGCAGTGACAGGAGGATAATTAGTCCTTAAACAAGGATCTTTGTATACAGACACACAGACACACAGCTGGAAAACAGCTGGATTATCCTGATAAATTAAACTCAGGCAGTTCAACAACTAACAAAAATATTTCTTTTGATTGACTAATTAGCTCAGCCTCTGAGCACATCAGTCGACCAGTGACTGCAGTGCATCCATTCCTCAGTTCCAGCTGTTACAGTTAGATCCTTTATTTTCTTCCTCCTCCTCCACCTGCAGCTGGACCCTCAGGACATAAAGCTGCCGTGTCAGTGACGGAGAGGCAGAACATCCTCTGCCAACAACTTCTTGTAAATTGGTTTTCCTGTGAGCAGCTTCAAAAGCTTCTACATTCACAAAGTTAATCATCCTTACAGAATTAGTCGAGGCTGCAGGAGCTCGTCCCATAAAACAGAACAAGCCGTTAACAGTGTGTAGGGAAGCACTCATCCTGTGAAGACACACACACACATGCACACACACCATCAAACCGCACGTCATATACACATGCAGTGAATATTACTGCAGATGAAAGTGAACAGTCAGTGAACAGCAGGATTACACTCACCAGCCTGTGTTCACTTGATAAATATTTCAAGGAAACGTATTATAGCTGACAGGACTTCATGTACAGATGCTCTTCACTGTTTGATGCTTTATTATTTTTATCAGTGACAGCCGCTTCATTAACCTCCATTTAAGACCTAAATATACAGTATCACCTGTTTTATCTCATGGTAAAATAATTATAAAAAACTATCACACAGTGGTATCTTCTGTAACCAGACAATCGGCGCTACAAAAAAAGATTCAAAACCTCTTCTGTTACATTAGATCACTTCATTAAAAACCAGTTTGGTTTTTGAAACACAGTGACAAATAACAATAGGACACAATTGAGACAGACAGATCACAGCAGACAAAAAAAACCTGTCCTGTAAAAAATGAGCCCATAGGTCGTCCGTGCAGCAGGTTATTATGACCCATAGTTAGGTTTTGTTGCTAGACGACATCTAGTGTTCATAGTAGTTATGACAGGAGCAAAGGAAAAAGTGCAGTGACGTAGTATAAAGAGAGACAAAGTCCACGTCAGGAGGAGGCTGTGGTGAATGGATGAATATGACACAGGAGAGTGGTGTTCCATTCCCATGTGAAACCAGCAGTTTATATTGTTTCTATTATCCATGACTGTTCAACAAAATTAAGCACGTTTGTTATATTGTAACCATGACAACAAAGACCATCTAATGTTGAAGAAGTACTTATTTTAACCCAAACCGCCATCTTGTCCTAAACCTAACCAAGTCATTACTGTTATTATAGTAACCATGGCAACAAAGGTTCAGTACGCCTGCCACCGTAGGGGCGCTATTTCAGGAGACACTGCTATGGGTCATACCAGAGGGGTGAAAAAAAAGACCTGTGTGGTTGGTCAGTTTGGAGGAGCTGTTGGAGTCCAACTATCCACAAAATTTAAAAGCAAATCAACCACAAAATGACTAATATTAAAAATGAGACGCAAAATGACCCCAAAGCCACAAAAAGACACAAAACAATTCCAACAATACACAACTCAACCACAAAGACACAAAAAAACTATAAAAAGACAAACAAACATAACATAGACACAAAACAACCACACAGAGACACAAAACACCCACAAAGAGACACAAAACAACCACAACCACAAAGAGACACAAAACAACCACAAAGAGACACAAAACAACGACACAGAGACACAAAACAACCACAAAGAGAGACAAAACAACTGTAGTATCTTTAGTGCTAACTAAAAGTAGTAATAAAACACTTACATCTAACTGGGTCCGATGAGCGGTTGTCTTGAATAATTCAGGGAGTGAATTAATGTATGGTTGAACATTGACAATTCATTACCTCACAACTTATACACAACAATACACAAGACTTTATTTTTTAAAAGAATGGAAAATAAAAAATAAAATAAATAAATAGATAAATAAAGAAAATCAAAAGAAATAGTCCGCTTGTTCCTTTAATCCACAGGTACTCCTTATGATTAAAGAGCTCAAAAGTTCAGTTCAAAGTTGTTTCTTGTTGTATCTGTTCCAAGTGTCTAATAGTGTCATTACTATTACTACCCTGTTAGTGTGTGTGGTCTTATCTGTAATCCAATGAAAGAATGTATCAATTCCAAATGAGAAGTCCTCTGTGGGCAGTTCCTGCGGCAACACCGTTTCTCCAACCATCCACAGGGTCACAGGCTGAGCTCGCCATCTTTGATTCTTCAAATTCTATCTGGTCACAAAAAAAACAACCTACACAGATTGTGCAGGATAATAAGTTATCCGGTTCTCTTTATGTGTCTAAGATGAGATCTCATTAAATTCTTTAAGGAGATCAATTAAGGATATACTTTAATTAATTAATTAAATTTAATATACTACAATGACCATATTTTAACAGCTGGTATTTATAACATGGATAATTTACCATAATTTCTTTAAAACAGATGTCTTTTTAACTTTAACATAAATTATTTACAATGAATTTTCCCTCTGTCACATCAACATTTGTTTTCTAACAGTAACAGATTGCTTATTATGAATTTATTATGTCAAAACAATTTTTAACATTTACATTAATTATTTGCTGTATTGTTACATTTTTATGTAACATTTTAATATACTTTCACTCACCGGAGTTGCTCAACATTACAGAAGTTACCTCCCTTTCGCTCAAAGCTGGACTTCTATTAAAAGAGCAACTTATTAGTATTGAAACATGGACATTTATCTGACTTTTATTTGTGGTGTTACCTACCAGGAAATGCTCGGTTTTTGTTCACATGCTCACACACGTCTGCTGTTTTGGGAGTGCTGCTGAGGTAACAAGAAGAGCTCATGTAGCCCTCTCAACATTACAGCTACACAGTGTATATGCGCCCCTTGCGGGAACAACATGTAATTACATCTGTAAGTCACATATATGGGTTTTGTAGCCCTATATTACATGTGAGTTACACAACCACAAAGAGACACAAAACAACCACAGACTCAAAACAAAATGAAGACAGAGCAACTTACTGTTTGTCTTTTTTTAAAAGTAATTCCTTGAAACAGCTGCTCATTGTAGGTTTTATCAAACACACTGGAGAAGATGGTGCACTTAAGTATCTGAGGTCTAATTGTGTATATTTCTCTCCCCCTCAGATACAGAGGTGCGTCTGGTGTGCAGAGGCGTGCTCCCCTACCTGAACTCTTCCTGGGAGATCTGGTGGACGGTCGATGGGAAGACGCTGGATAAACTGGCTGACCAGCGCTTCACCAACAGCAACAGGTAGAAAGAAAACATCTCTATCTCCAGTCTGAGATTTTGTCTCATTGTGAAGGATGGGTAGATATAATATAATTTTACTGTATGAAATTCATCGCTGCTGTTTGTGATTTTCTTTTGGATCTGCTGGAGCAATGGATGAAACAACTCTGTATGTGAATGTGTCTTTAATAATAATCAATTAATTAATTTATCAATACAAAATTTAATACTAAACAGGCTTGAATAGCTCAAACTTGGACGTATGACTCAATATCAATAAAAGGCCTGCATTATATATCCTAATTCAGTAAAAGTACAGACACATTATCAGCAAACTGTAGTTACAGTATCACAGTAAAAGTACTTCCTGTAATAACAGTATCACAGTAAAAGTACTTCATGTAGGTACACTATCAAAGTAGAAGTACTTCATGTAGTTACACTATTACAGTAAAAGTACATCCTGTAGTATCACAAAGTACTTCCTGTAGTTACACTATCACAGTAAAAGTACTTCCTGTAGTTACACTATCAAAGTAAAACTGTCTGTGAATGTTCTCATTCGTCCAGGTCATAGTTATCTCTCTCTCAAATTAAATCGAAGGCAACTGGACTTGTATTTGTCTGTGGAAGACGTTTCGCCTCTTATCCAAGCGGCTTCATCAGTTCATCATGTATTGGTCTCTCTAGTCCGCACTAGTCAGACTAGTGTCACAATAAAAGTACTTCATGTAGTCACAGTATCACAGTAAAATTACTTCCTGTGGTTATGGTATCACAGTAAATGTACTTCTAAAGTAACTATAACTAAACTAGTAACTATATTTGTCAAATACTGTGTAGTGGAGTACAAAGTAAAATATCTCTATCTGAAATGAGGTCAAGCAGAGGTATGATGTAGAATAAAATACAAATACTCAGGTAAAGTACAAGTACTTCAAAACTGCACTTAAGTACAGTGCCTGAGTAAAAGTACTTATTTACTAACTGGTGTTCAGAGAGCTTTACTTCTAGGTCTCCACAGATTAAATGCAGGGTCAAACACACAGGATTTATTGGATATAAATCTTCCTGGAGGTCCTGCGTGATTCTGACAGTCTGTGTTTTATTTAGAAATATACAAGGTCTGTGTGTGTTTGCAGTCTGTTGACTTATTACTACGGGGACCGGACAGAGGAGAGCGTGCTGGTGATCAAGGACTTCCAGTCTGAGGACCTAAACAGAGAGTATAACTGCTCGGTGAGGAACGACCGAGGCTTCGAGACCCGCAGAGCTCAGCTGGAGGAGGAGGGTGAGAAAAACACATACGTCAGCCTCTGATGTGTGAAGCTGGAGTCAATAAATATGTTCCCGCCCTCCTTGTTGCAGTGTCACATGATACTGACACATTTTGGTAAATGCTCCTGTTAGTCGTCACAGGTCAGCTTCATCTCTGTGCTTCTACTTTGCTGTTTTTGTGACCTTCAGCATTGCCTGCTGATGTTTCACAATAAAACACATTATAATGACATTAATCTTGATGTACAGTTTTATTACAGATGTACACATAAGCTGATTATTTGCTTAATGACACAGAACCTTCCTATATTACTGTGGAACAGTTGTTAAACATCAGGTGTGTCTCGTTGTGTCAGTGTCGCTGCCATCGATGGAGCTGGGTTGTGGTCTTGGTGTGACCCTAGTCCTCATGCTGCTTCTCTTCGTGGTTTATCATGTCTTCTGGTTGGAGCTGCTGCTGCTCTATCGCTCCTGGTTCGGCACTGATGAGCGACACACAGGTGAGCAACAGGTGACACTCCAACCTCCAAACCTCGGTCAGGTGCATGGTCCATTAACTTGCTTGGATGAAAAGCCTCTGAGGTCTTTGATGATGACTGTAAACTCTCAGGTAGAAGCTGGTATTTAGTGGGAACAGTTGGTTTTATCACAGTATTTTCTCATTGTGTTTTATATTATTATTTTGTTGTGTGCCATTTTAATCCGTATCCTTTCATGATTTGCTGCTACAGTTTGATTAACTGGTGGGTGTTACCAGGTTAAAAAAAATTGTGACACTCACAGTTAAATAGGCTTATTATTTAATATGGGGCAATCAACAAACACATTTCGGCTACAAGCCGCTATCAGCTTAAGTCAGCTTAAGAAAAAGTAGCAGATCAGCTTGATGAGGTACATCTGTGACTGAACCAGGCAGAAACTGAATCTTCATAGGGGGAGGTGTGGCTACACATCAGCAACACATATCCTACATAGAGGAAACGATAATTATAGAAACCATAACAACCATCTATGCTGAAAAAATGTGCCAAAACTAAGAATGTGACTAAAGGACAAAGGTTCATAGGGACATACATACTGTGGCCAACAAGGGCAAATGTGCTGCAACAGCCCAAAACACTATTAAGAGAAATGAGCTGCAAATTCAGAAAATGCTGCAGATTCAAAAACACATGTGAAAATACAAAACAAATACAAGAATAGAATTTCAGCTCATTTCTCTTAATGTGTATGTCATAAAGTGTTTTGGGCCGCTGCAGCGTGTTTGCCCTTATAGGCCACCGTAGATACAGCATACAAAGATTAAAGGCAGAGAATATGAATCTATGTTTAGATACTCAAAAAATATAAGTGAAATTTTGAATTTTTTTTTCAACCACAATAAACAACATTTCAGTATATCTAAAGAATCTGAATTTAGCGAGCACAAATGGGTTGTAGAAAATTCAAATTTAGAGCTATGTGTCCATGTTAACTAGTTTGAAAAAAAAGATATATGTATATGTATATGTATATATATATATGCAAGAATAGTTAAATATTTAGAAATTATTTAGAAAAGTAATATATGAAAAATCATTAAAAAAAAATTAAAAAAACTTTAGCAACTAATAGCAACTAATTTAAATCAATACAAGAGAACCTAATAAAATGTCACAAATACAATACCAAAAGTGATGGACAGAATATACAAAAGGAATACTGGTGGGGTGGGGCTCCCCATAGAAAGTTTATGGGAAACAGTTCAGCACCAATTTATCAAACTCATTCAAACCTTTTAGGCTCTCAGTTTGCAATGTATGAAACCAGCTTTTTGTTTGATTGAAAAAGGGCAGAAGAAGAAGAACATCCTCTGGAGGACAGGTAATGAAAATGTGGTGTTGTTTTTGCCGTGTCACCTGAACCACCTCAGTCTTTACGTCCTGTTCTTAAATGACTTGTGTTTAGTGATGATCTTTCCTGTCTGGCTGCAGTCACAGCATTTAGATTATTAAAGCCAGTATCAGTGAAACAGGAGAAAGTGTAATTTCTTGAGCACTGTTGGCAGATTTATTCAAACTGTGAGACACTGTGGACGGAGCAGCTGCCAGCTCAAGCATTTCCACTGCACAGTTTTATAACGAAGCCTTTAACTCTGAAAATCACACATCACCTCCACTGAATGCCAGTAAAATTTACTAATTGGCTGTAAAGGTTTTACCGCTCACATTTATTTTTTTGTCAAAGGTAACACAACATCATGAGGCAATGCAGCGCCAGCACGGCTCTCACTGATGTTGGTGCTTTCAAGGACACTCCAACATCTGAGAACTGAGATTCAGCTGCTCTGTTTTCACACAAAATTAGACCAAACTCACATTATCTTATTCAACTGGAACTTTTTATTTTTATTCCTCTGCACCAGCGACAGTCAGAGCCAGAGGCATTTTGTTTTCAGGTTGCCTATCTGTTCCATTCTCATGGACACAATATCTCAGTAACGCCTTGAGGGAATCTTCAAATTTGGTACAAATGTCCACTTGGACACAAGGATGAAATGATTAGATTTTGGTGGTCAAAGGTCAAAGGTCAATGTCACAGAGACATCACAAAATACTTTTTAGCCATTTATCTTATTTTATATTTTAGCCAACAAATGGTTCATATTTTCTATGACTCTGGATAAACAGGGATGTAACCTGAAACTAGTCTGAGTCGAGGAGGCAGACAACCACCAGGAGGTGATTGTAGTTTATATACTGTCTTGTGGCATCCAAAATATGGATGTTCTTACTGTATGTGCACAGTGTTTCTCTCAGTGTTCATGTTTGTGTGTTATTGACCGTCCTCCAGATGAGCTCCTCCATCAACCTGCCTTGCAGTTCAGTGATTTTTAACAATCCAATATGAATGATCAAATGTTGCAGTTTCCATGAACACAGCATCAAGTTTCAGACTCCACTCACAGCTGCATTGTCACATGATGGAAATGTGACTTTACAAAGTTGACCAAACACTGCTGTGATGGCTGATCCATCTCTGTAGCAGGTTTCTGTCTCTGCAGGTTGATCTTTGTAGACATGAACCAGAACCAGCAGCAGCTGTTTCCTGCAGGGAGGAGAGTCAATCTGAAAACTGATGCAGGACTCACAAAATGATCTGAAGGGATGTGAAGGTTTTGTGCAGGATTTGTACCTGAAGCACTTAAATATGAAAACAAAATGGTGCTAGTTTGGACGTGCGTGATGGGAACACACACTGTAGTGAACTCAAGTGAACCTTTAAGTTGAAAGGAAACTGTTTTATCTTGATGATGACATTTACATCACAGAGGTGCTGACTTGTTTCCTGTGCAGATAATGACATGGTAACTTACATATCAAACAAAAATGTTCTTTCCAGAGTCAAAAACATGATGTTTCCTCCTTTAATCAGTTGATCGCGTGTGTGTGCGTGTGTGTGTGCGTGTGTGTGTTTAGATGATAAAGAGTACGACGTGTACATCTCATATGCGAGGAACAGTGAGGAGGAGCAGTTTGTTCTGACGACGCTGCGCAGAGTCCTGGAGAACGAGCTTGGATACTCAGTGTGTATCTTTGACAGAGACAGTCTGCCGGGAGGGAGTGAGTACACAAACATACTGCAGTACTACACACACATACTGCAGTACTACACACACATGCTGCAGTACTACACACACATACTGCAGTACAACACACACATACTGTAGTACTACACACACATACTGCAGTACTACACACACATACTGCAGTACAACACACATACTGCAGTACTACACACATATACTGCAGTACTACACACACATACTGCAGTACAACACACATACTGCAGTACTACACACACATACTGCAGTACAACACACATACTGCAGTACTACACACACATACTGCAGTACTACACACACATACTGCAGTATAACACACACATACTGCAGTACAACACACACATACTGTAGTACTACACACACATACTGCAGTACTAAACACAGATACTGCAGCACAACACACACACACACACATACTGCAGTACTAAACACAGATACTGCAGGACAACACACACTACAGAACAACACACACATACTGCAGTACAATACGAACATGCTGTGGTACTTCTCACTCTGTGGAAGTACAGTCATACTGTAGTACACACTCTTTAAACACAGTACACACTCTGATACTAAAGCATAGTACACTCATGTACTGCAGCACATGCACTCACATACTAAAGTACACACTCTGATACTGTGATACTGTAGTAGAATACAGTGTTACACCAACAATTACACTTGTTTTTTCCCCTGCTTCTGCTAATATTCCTGTTGCTCCTACTAGTGCTACTACCTGTAGTATTACTGCCAGTAGTCTTGTTACCTCTACTGCTGTTGCTACGACTACTTCTAATACTGATACTCCTACAACGGTTAACTACTGTTAAAACTTATCCTCCCCCTTCTACTACTACTACTGCTGTTGTTCCTTTACTTCTGCTACTACTTAAAGCTAGCTACTAGTATTGTAGTTGTTGTTTTTATAGAGGGGTATAAATTTAAGATTGAAATCCACATCATATCTGTACTGGTATAAAAACAGTACGGAGTGTTGACAGTTCATTTGTACACAAGCACAGACTGTCCCTGTCAGTGTGTTAATAATGCAACAAGACAAGACAAAACAGACACAGAAACAAACAAACAAAAGAATAGAAAGGGGGGGATTCTGACCTGGGTTGACATTTCCCCAAAGATTTCTGTTCCTGTCCATCACTGCATATATGACCTTTCTCAATTTTACAAAAGACATGATGTCCTAAAACCATGAAGACGGGGTTGGACTGTGGATTATTTTGGACATCACCTTGAAATAGTCAAAAACTGTGCAACATTGAGAATGAATATAAAACATGGGGCTTAAACTGAAAGAAGGAGAAGAAGCATGAGACCTGAGTCCATGTTGGTGTAAAGAAGAGTTTGTATGAGTCAATAGTTTTTCCTCCACTTCACTGTAAAGTTGCCTCACAGCTCATGTTCCCAAGCAGCTCCTGCTCTGTACAAGGAGTATTTATCAAAAATAATGAGCTGATCATAGATCCAGGAAATGATTTATACTACTACTCCTGCTACTAGGTCACCTATGACTCCTGCTTATACACTCACTCTACTACTACTACTACTACTACTACTACTACTAACACTACTAGTAGTACTACTACCACTACTACTCCTACTACTAGTGCCACATCTTTTACTCCTGCTACTATTCCTGCTATGAAAGACAGGTGAACCAAGAAAAGACACACACAGACAGGAACACAGTCCATCCGTCCATCCATCCATCCATCCACCATTAACCCTCCTCTCTCCCTGCAGCCATCACAGATGAGACTCTGAGTTTTGTGGCTCGTAGCCGGCGCCTCCTGGTGGTTGTTAGCCCAGGCTACGCCTCCAAGGGCTCCCAGGCACTGCTGGAGCTGAAGGCTGGCATCGATGGCATGGCATTGGACGGGCACCTGCGGGTGATCCTGGTTCAGTACAAGCCAGTCCAGAGGAAGGGCTGGGTCAGGGAGCTGAGGAGAGCCCGGGTGGCCCTGGCACTTGTCCGATGGCAGGGAGACAAATCCAGAGAGCTGACGTCCCACTTCTGGAAGAGACTGAGGGTGGAGTTACCTGTGAGGAGGGTTAGCAGCAGGGATGAGGAGGAGGACAGTAAGGAGGTGGCTCTGATGAGGCTGCACAGTCAGAACAGCACAAACTCCCAGACAGGCCTCATTACCACCACCGTCAAAGATCCACAGAAAGTCTTCAACTGTTCAGCATAGCCATGATGGAGGTCAGCAGCTACACATGTCCTAAAACGTGTTTGCTGTCTCAACAGAACTATACAGACATGTTAAAGGACACGATTAGTTTCATCACCTTCTATCATCTACAGATCTACAGAAAGCCTCTTGTTTCCCTGGCTCAAATGAGGGTGTCTGAGACTCATTCATTTCAGCATTTTTCCACAAAACCTTTCATTTCATTTAACAACAAGAATAAAAGTATACAGCCAAGTTATTAATACATATAATAATCTATAATAACAACCTCAGCATCAGCATGTAAAAATGCTCTCAATGGTAATGACAGCATGTTGACATTAAGCAGGTTCAATGCTTAATTCGTCTCAGCATCTTATTCGTCAGAGCATTTTATTTGTCTCACTCTCTTAGTTTAGCCAGTTAGCATTAAGCACTACAGTTGAGGCTGATGGGGATGTCTTGGCTTCTCTAGGTATTTGGTTATAAACCAAAGTTTTGGACAAATTTACATTTTGACCTGATGATGGCACTAGATGGAAGGGTGGGGGATGAAAAGTATTTACAATTCAATTCATTCAGACTATGAATGTGTGTAGCAAATTGTGTGTACCAAATTTCACGACAATCCATCCAAGAGTTTTTTAGATATTTAGATAAAAAACAAAAATGTCAAGCTGATGGTGGTGCTAGAGAATAAGTCAGTTGATCACCAGAATTCATCTTCAGGGGACCATGAATGTCTATACTAAATTTCATCACAAAAGTCAAAGTAATACAAGAATTATCATTGTTCATACAACAACTGTAATGGTTAATAAGTAGAAGTGCTAGCCTGTGACCAGGTTTTTAAACAGTAAGTGGTATGGGAAATGACCATAGAATGTAATTGACATGTAATCTCGAATGAACCTAAAATTTAAAAAATTTAATATGATGTACTTTTTTCACCTGAGCCTTGAAAGAAAGTTTGGAATCAATAAGAACTCAGAGGTTTACACAGAGATGTCTGGTTCTACACAAACAAACACTGCTTAGTGTTTTAGATACATGTAGACATATTACCTTAACCATGCTATTCCATGAACCATGAAATTTGTCAGTTCATAGGCAACTTGTGTCATGCTGCTACCATGTACATAAATGACAGTGTCATCTGCATACATTTGGATGTTTGTGTCTCATTAGCTGAAAGCACCCCAAGGCTGTAGTGTTCATTATAACCATAATATGACAAAGCATTTAGCTATTCTAGCCTGGTTGCAGTGTTTGGATGAACTGGCTAAAGTGGTACTGAATGTTTGTTTTTTTTTAAGCCTGGAGTTTGGGTTTACCTTTAGGCAAAAGCAACCAACCACAGCAGTTGATAGGTGGAGACACCTGTCAATCAAGTGAAACTAAAGCCATGTTTAGACCAAAAAGTACCTGGAACTTTTAGTTCTGACAAATTGTGTCCCGTATATATTCAATAGCCCACAGGACACAGCATTTTATTTACAAATATGTGACGATCCCATACAGGTGGCAACCCTAGCTACTCCGGTAGTTGTGGTCCTATAAGTCCTGTTTCAGTTTTTTTTACCTTCTCCGGGACCTGTTTTGCAGTGTTGAAAATGTGTTTGCTTGCTCACTCACTCGCTGCGGACTTTTTAAAATCGTGGATGAAATAAAATGCAGCTAGTACTGAAATGTTCAGCACTGCAGACCACACCCACCAAAGTTCCTGAACCTTTGGAAAGTACTATCCCCCGACTAGATACCGGGGGAAAGTTCCTGTGGTGAAAACATGGCTTAATATACATCTTTTTACACCAAGGCACATTAGAAGAAGTGAAATACACTGAACTTGTAGTAATAAGACACAAATTGTAGCTTCACAGCCTCAGCTGTACTTAGCCAAAAGCTAAAATTAGTCTGCATATACACTGTTGCTCATAAAGTCGGAATAAAATATTTTTTACCTCTTTCCATGAAATGATTGTGACAATGTGATTTATTTCATTTCACCTGGGTAATTGGGACACATAATGTAATCATTGCACCTAGTGATTACTGGTGCGTTTAAAGAGGAATAAACAGAGAATTGTGTCTGAAAACAAAATTATTCCAACTTTATGGGCAACAGTATATAAGGATTAACATCCTAATGGAAAGGAAAGAATTTTGGTTGTTTGGTTGTTAACATTTATCTTTGGATAAACAGAGGTGTTTGATAACAGGAAATTTTAGCTGTTGGTAGCACTAGAGGAAAAGTCAGGGGATCACTTAAGTTAGGAGAATTCATTCTCAGGGAACCACAAATGTCCGAACCAAATATCATCCCAATCAAGATATTTCACCCTGGACCAAAGTGTTGGACTGACTGACGGGCAGTTCAATCCCTAAACTCACAACCTCAGTTTACCTTAATATATACTGACTGTTAGAGAAGGTCTTAATGGAGTAAAGAAAACAAATTCAGAGATTATTGTGTCTTGTGGGAAAAACTGTGATGTATTGCATCTCTAGAGAGATGTTTTGGAGTTTTCTCACCAACTTGAATAAAGTGAGTTTTTTCTTAAAGCTCCAACTAGTGAAAATTACAGGAACTGCATTTTAATGCACTTTAACACTCAGCTGCGATGGTAGCTTGGCTGGTTAGATTTTTTCCTAATAATATTTTGGGGACATCCAGTGGAACTTAAGCCAACACAGATGTGAAGTTGGGTGTCACCTGCAAAGAGGGAGATTTACAATATAATATCCAACAGACTTTAAAAACACCACAGCTATAAAATGTTACAGAGGAAACACAGACCCATGGAGGAGGGATCTATGCACTGCAATTTTCAAATATTAGTTTTATTAGAGAAAAAAAAGTATTTACAGAATAAAACTTGCCTGATCATTACTTTAAAATGTTGCAATTACTCTGCACTTCTATATTTTTTTATTTCATTTTATTGCACTGCTTTCACTTTTATACATTCAATATATCAATAATAAATCAACTGTAAGATATAATCTTCTTTGAAAATATGCAATATGCTATTCATCTTTAACACTCAAAAAACAGTATTATGGGATATAATAATGGGAGAATACATCCTGCACGTTGTCATGCTTTAATGTGTTTAAGCAGTTTACAGCATTTCATTTTTTTGTTGTTTATTCAATAAATGAATTTTTCTTCTAATGCTATGTCATCATCATCATTGTTTTTCATTCCATTTGCACAAATACCCACACACATGCAGTTAGGATCACAATGCATATAATGAAAATATAGTTCATACAATTATTATTTTCTGTCTAGAAGTTTAATGTGAAATAACAGATTCTTTCTAGAGGTCTAAAACTCTCCAACTCTCTCGTCCATAAACATCCATATTCAGTTTTCATTTTAAAATAAATTGGTAATAGAGAATTTAGTTTAATCTGCACCTGCACTTGCTTCACCACAGTATGATCATGTTAACATGATTAAAAAAAAATCTTAACTCATACTACATGTACTGCCTCTTTGCTGAGCTTTCTATCACATTCTACTGTATGAAAAAAAGCTGACAAAAAATTCATGAATGTTTTGAGTCTTTGTTCTGATTTTCTTAAAAAGGGATTTGACCAGTGGCTGTCTGGAAGGTAATAAGTCTAGCAAGACAAATTTTTTACAGCCACGTTACACACATATGAGGAATGTATGTCCTGTTAGTGGGTTAGATGAAAAATCTGCTGATCACTAGCCCTGACAGTCCCAGATGTTAAGGTGAAACAGAAGTGCAGTGTTCTTCATCAGAGGTGGGGAAATTAACTAGACGTATTCTCTCTCTTAAATTAAATCGAAGGCAACTGGACTTGTATTTGTCTGTGGAAGACGTTTCGCCTCTTATCCAAGCGGCTTCATCAGTTCATCATGTATTGGTCTCTCTAGTCCGCACTAGTCTGACCAAGAAAATGGAGAAGGACCCAGGTATTTAACCTCTTGTGGGTGGGTCCACCAAAGTACCTGTGAAAGTACTGGTTTCACCTGACCATTGTTGTGGTCTCATGTGGACGACCGTCGTTAGGGGTCAGGTGACCCTGTTGTTGTCCCCTGTGAACGACAGTCGTTAGGGTCAGGTGAGCCCCTGGTGGATGACGATCGTTGAGAGTCGTCTGAGGTTATGTTGTTGACCCTCCTGGGTACCGATGAAAGGGCGACATTGTAGATGGGGGATAGATGGTGTCGCAGACCACCTCCCCTGTTTAGCGATGGCCTCTCCACTTTTACATAGATGGCTTCCTTGACTCCCCTTTCAAACCATCTGTCCTCCCTGTCCAAGATTTTGACATTGCTGTCTTCAAAGGAGTGTGCCTTTTCCTTTAGGTGGGAGTAGACAGCTGAGACAGGGCCTGAAGAGTTTGCCCTCCTGTGTTGGGCCATACGTTTGTTTAAAGGTTGTTTAGTTTCCCCAATATATAGGTCATTGCAATCCTCACTGCATTTGACCGCATATATCAGGTTGCTTTTCTGATTGTGTGGTGTTTTGTCTTTGGGGTGTACCAGTTTCTGCCTGAGTGTGTTACTGGGTTTGAAACATACAGGGATTTGATGTTTGTTAAAAATCCTCCGGAGTTTCTCTGAGACCCCAGACACGTATGGAATGACTATATTTCTGCGTTTATCTTGCATTTTCTCAGCATCCTCCATGTTGGTATTCTTTCTGGAGCGTGTTGTTGTTTTGCCAAAGGTCCAACTCGGATAGCCACAAGTTTTCAGAGCTCCCTTTAGATGTTTGTGCTCTTCTGCTTGGGCCCGAGTGGAGGTTGGTATGTTGTCAGCCCTGTGTTGCAAGGTTCTGATAACACCCAGTTTGTGCTCCAGTGGATGATGTGAGTTAAAGAGAAGGTATTGGTCTGTGTGCGTGGGCTTCCTGTATACTCCAATGTGAAGGCTCCTGTCCCCAGCAAGGGGGACATCACAGTCAAGGAAAGGTAGGTGGTTGTCTTTGACATCCTCTCTTGTGAATTTGATGTTCTTGTCCACTGAGTTGATGTGTTGGGTAAAGGCTTGTAGATCTTGTGTTTTAATCTTTACCCATGTGTCATCCACATACCTAAACCAATGGCTTGGTGGAGTTCCCTTGAAGGAGTTGAGGGCCTTTCGCTCTACCATTTCCATGTATAGATTGGCCACAATGGGGGACACAGGTGAGCCCATAGCACAGCCGTGCTTTTGTCTGTAGAAATTGCCGTTAAACTGGAAATATGTGGTTGTGAGGCATAAATCCAGTAACTGGCAAATCTGATCTGGTTTGAGGTTTGTTCTGTCATGTAGTGTGTGATCTTGTTTCAAATAATTCCTCACAGTTTCCACTGCCTCCATGGTTGGAATACAGGTGAATAAGGAGGTCACATCGTATGACACCATGGTTTCATCTTGTGCCATTTTCAAGCCTTTGATTTTATTTACAAAGTCTAACGAGTTCCGGACATGATGTGGTGTGTGGGGTCCTTCTCCATTTTCTTGGTCAGACTAGTGCGGACTAGAGAGACCAATACATGATGAACTGATGAAGCCGCTTGGATAAGAGGCGAAACGTCTTCCACAGACAAATACAAGTCCAGTTGCCTTCGATTTAATTTAAGAGAGAGATTACTATGACCTGGACGAATGAGAACATTCACAGACAGATAACTAGACGTATATTTACCTAACCAGCTACTTAGTCCTCATTACTAAAGTTTTCCATCTATGCAAAAACTAAAACATACCATTTGAAAAAATTGACAAAAAAACATAAATGTCATCTTAATGTGGCCTGTTTTCAGGTGCACTGTCTTCTTTGCCTTATCCTGGGGCCAGTTTCACAAAGACATGTCAGACTGGTCTGTAGTGTCGGTCCAGTCTTCATGTTGCTCATAGATCAGTCTGATGTCAGACTGGTTTACAAAAATAAAGACTGACTAACAATGACAAAAACATTACACACTTACCCCCAGGCTAATTCAGGCCTAAGACCAATGTTACTATGGTAATAATCAGTGACACCTGCGCTGACCAGTAGCACCAAGCAACACAAAACAAGAAAACATGACTCATAATTTGAGCAGAGGCAGACAGCAGAGACTGTTTTTTCTTTTTATTGTTTCATTCTTCTGAATTTCCAAAGTAAAACGTCCTTGCTGTTGAATTCTTCTAGTGGACAAACATTTTCTGCTGGGGTACACAGAGCTTAGCAGTTGGATGCGGTTCCTTGGTCAGCCATTTTTTTTTTTAATTCTGAAAAAAGTCGTTATTTACCCAGAGTTCATAGTACTACAGTCCCATTTAAATTGCAACGTGGAAGCTCACGCCCGACTGCTTGTCTTAAAGGCACCCCAGGTAACTGCAGCCTAAGCTAGCTACTTTTGTAATATGTCACATGTAGCGGATCTGAAACCAAATCAGTCCCTTTTAAATTGGTATAAGAGTGAAAGTTAAGATTGGGTTTCATGTAGTGGTGGGACCCTTTATCCTGAGGGTCTTCAAATGGTTTGTTTTGGGTTTAATAGTCCAAAACTTGTTGAGATGTTTCAGCCTGGACCAAAGCGTTGAACTCTGACATCACTGAATAGCATGGCTAAAAACTGATGCTGGGCTTTTTGGAAGCCACAGTATGTGAAATGGTTTGTGGTCAATAAACACATGAATTTGTGTTCAATCTCTTGTCCGCTGATATTTTATCAGTGGTTGTTTCCTCTTCCCGTCTGTCCTCTGTCAGACCTATCAGAGGCCATCCTGCAGTCGATGCAGCGGAGCCGCCGCCTCCTGTTCGTCCTCAGCCCCGACTTCCTGAAAGAAAAAAGCTTCAGCCTCCTGGAGTGTCGTCTCGGTCTGTACCTACAACATGGCCACCAGGCCTCCATCGTGGCTGTTGTTTACCGCTCAGCCAGTAAGCTGCCTTGTGTGGAGGTGGCCCAACTCCACCAGGCCTCTGTCAGCACGGTGAAGTGGCGAGGGAGTCAATCTGAACCGCAGCGTTCACGATTCTGGCTGCGGCTGAGGCTGGCACTGCCCGTCCGGCCACTCGCTATGGGCAGGAGGTTGATCGACAGCACATCATCTCACTCAGACCTGGCTGCACTGGCACTGCAGAGAGTTCAACGGAATCAGAACCAGAACCAGAACCAGAGGGACAGAAACTATCAGACCCGCAGAAATAGATGGGCTGCAGCCAATCAGAGCCGCAGAGACAGACATGGAGGGAGGGCCAGGGGCAGGGTGAAGAGGGGGGATACATGCAGGGAGGAGGGGTCACAGCACAGCAGGAGCTGCTCAGGGTGCGCTGGGTTTGTTGGCCAGGTGGAAAACAGAGGGGTGGAGCTTACAGTGGAGACAGAGATGAAGGAGTTGACACATGATAGGACTGAGATTCGGTCAGACCCTGTTCCAGAAACAGACCTTACCCCAACTCCAGACTCCACTCATGACACATTCTCAACTCCTAACCCCGGCCCCATACCTGTCCCAGCCTCAGACCCAGTCCCTGACTCCGCCCACCCCACCTGTGAGAAGGACGATGGTGAAAAACACAAGCAACAGTAGCAGATGATTCCCTTGAGACTTTTATAAAAACTTTAAATGATGCTGCGTTCAAGTCACATCAGAAAGGTGGAAAACTGTGTTGATGAAAGCCTAAGGCCTGACAAAAACCATCAGGATTCACTCTGTTAGGAGGAGAGGAGAATATCAGTTCAGCCAGTTACTCTGGAATTTATGGAGTCCCTAAGGGGCTGCACACACACTGCGCATTTACACCCCACTTGATTTTTCTGTCTGCTAATGAAAGCTACTATACTTCACTTTATAATCTACAAAATGCAATGACTTGCTGACTGACGAAATACGACTGACTTCTCGTTGAAATTCAAGACTCATAGGAGAATACTTGTTTTGAAGAGGTGAAACCAGTAGTAGCTGTTAAAATTCCTCACTTGCGTTTCAGGTGCTTTCCTGTTACACTGAAACAACTTCTGGGTGCGCTGCAAAATATGCGTCCACACTCAGAAAACACACGGACAGCGCTCTGTGCCAGCGCAATGAGCACATATGTGTCCAGAAGTCAGTACATTAACACACACAAGCAGTCTGTATCACGCTGTGTTAAGATGGTGAGGTGTGTAAATGCACAGTGTGTATATGCATGTTTTGGTGTGCATGTGAAGTTTTCATTGTGTAT